GACAGTAACAGGTCTTCTTTATTCATTTTCCTCATCTACACCCCACCTGGAGTGGGTCTACGCTCCAAGAACCAAAGTTACAACGTGTCACCATTAAGAACAGCTCAAAAGCTTTCTGCTTTTAGCTGAGGTGATAAGTATTACAAAAGGTTTATGAGTATGACATCACTGAGTTTACAATCCAAATGTATAACAAATCGCTGAACGTTACCTCCAATCTTACCGTAAACCAAAGCCAAAAATCAGAAATCATTCTTTAACCTACATAATTTGATGCTTTAAGCCTACCGCATGATGTATTAGGTGAAAAGAGAGATGGCAGACAGACAGACAGAGAGAGACGGAGATGAAGAGCGCTGGAGGAGAGCCCTGTCTCTACATGCACGGCTGGTGGAAAAATGTCTCTCTTAATGGATCCCAGCTTTCTACAGCACTTAGAACAGCCAAGACCCGCCGAGGGAATAAAATATGGCATTATTATTATTATCCTGCAATTATCAATTATCCTCTCTCTCCCTCCCTGCCTAAATTTCACCGTCTCTGTTAGTTTCTAAGCACCGATGCACACGTTCACACGGATTTAAACATGCACACTCAGGCGTTCGGGACTTTCTGTCAGACTGATCCACGTGGGGGCACGTGTTTGGAAGAAATAACTAAGAACATGCGCTCTCCTACAGACAAACCACTGAATCTGCACTTCAAAACTCTGATGGTTGCGCTGCAGTTTAGCTGGTACACGATGACAGCCGGATATGCGCCTTGTTGACTGGTGTTAGCAGAGCCATTTTTTATGTGACAGATGGAAACAGACAACAAAACTCCTTTTTTCTTTTTCCAGTCAGATTCGGACAGACGACTCAAAAACCCCCCAAAAACCAGAAGAGAGATTATGCAATAAATTACAGACAGATTTTTCACTCTAACATCACTTCCTTGATCCTGTGAAGACACACAGTAAATGTCAGACTGTTCTGCTCCATCAGGTCGAAGCTTCTTTTATTTATTTATTTTTCTGGACGTCTGTATCTGCTAGCCTCATCTGTCTCCAGAAAAAAAAAAAAACCTCAGCTCTGTGTAGGCAGCACGCAGTCAGCCCACTCTCACTCTGCAGAGACTGGAAAGAAATACGGGGGTGTTTGCTGGCCATGAGATGTGAAATTCAAGCTTTTATTTTAATCAGACTTTTAATCTGTTACAGCCAAGTTAGGAGCCTGAATAGAAATACGCCCTAAAAAAGCCATCTTTGACTGATTTAGTCCACGACATCACTTGATAAATCACCTAAAGCATTTTGAGTGTTTCTGAATAATGATAAGGCGCTAAAGTTTGCCCTGAAAGCCTTTTCTTGCTATTGTTGTGGTCTTTAGCAGCTGGGATGCAGCCAGCAGTCTGCTTATCAGCACTTAGCGAGGCAGGGTGAGAGAAAACCTGTCCTGAGGGCCAAGCTTTCAGTGCTAAGCCAGAGGATACGGTCCAAGACTATTAGCTTTAAACGGGGATGGAGAGATGGGTAAACCTGCCAGAACTTGGTGTACCTCTGCCTTTGTCTACAAATGAGGGTTTTGTTACAAAGTTCACAAAGTGCAGCAAAAAACTGATTTAAGTTTAAAGAGTAAAAGCAAAAATTAACAGAAAATTCAGAATGAGTGGAAATATGAATTATAATTTCAGGATAGTCAAATCTAAACTGTTTTTAAAAAAAAAAAAAAAATCTAATAAGTGACATAAATAACACGCTGCTTCTGTGTGTCGTGTCTATGCATTGTCCATTTTTTGCATATCAATCTGCACCTTTAAGCGGCATCAAACAGGGACGTGCTGAGATAGGAAAAAATGGAGCTGTTGTGTCTTTAACCACAAACAGATGGCATGCAATAACACGCAAACTTACTGAAGGACAACTGGAATGACATTCAGACGCTGCTTCACAATACCAGGCTGTTACTTAACACCAGATTGCTGACTGTAACTCTTTACCCCTTGAAAGCATGCTAGGAGTAATCCCTGAAGCTCTTTTGTGAAATGAGTGGTTTCTGTCATATTTCAGGCCTGCTGTCAGAACAAAATGACCGGGTTTGCATCAGAAGTTAGTGAGGGTGGTTTCAGGGTGGTTACAGCTACCCTTGGAAAAACCCAGAAACTATTCTAATGATTGACAAATCACATTACTGATCTATACTGAGGCATCAAAACTCTTCCGGGGCGGTCGTCAAATGCTGTCTTTGTGGTGGAAAAATCTCACTCTGACATCACTTCGGTTGTGTGTCATGTCCTCAGACCAAAGACTTATCCTAAACTGAACAGGATAGTCGGGGATCTGAAGGAAGGTGGGGGGAATAACACAAAGAAAACAGTCTGGGGTTGAATCAAACTCAGGTCTCTGCAGCCTTTCAGAATATAGTAAATGGACTGGTTTTCTACTTTACTTGAGCACTCAAAGCACTTTATAGATATTCATACAACATGCATCATTCATCCATTACAAGAACTTGTATTTTACAATTTTTCTAGCCAGCATTCACACTCTGATGAACACATGTGACAGGAACTTGTGGTTAGTATCTCGCCCAAGGATGCTCTGGCATGGAGACTGGAGCAGCCAGGAATGCTCTACCTCCGGAGCTACAGCAACCCCATAGGTCAGCTCCTCACCCAGGTGAGCACTCAGCTGCAGCACTTCCTAGTGAGCTTGCAGACCCTAAATATCCCCCATCTTCTGCTGTGTATTCAGCGCTTCCATGAGTTTGTAACTGACTGCAGATCAGAGGCATGAGTCGAGGTGCCTGCATGTTTATACAGGACCAGACCCTATACCACCAACACAGCTTTTACAGCTGGGCTGTTTGGACTTGACGGATGAACTGTGCCATATGTCCTGGGTGTGTGTGTGTCTGTGTGTGTGCGTGTGTGTCAGGAAGCACAAATCAACAAACCATAAACAAGCCAACATTATGACCCCACATAACCCCCCAAAACTCCAGCTTTTACACTAAATCGGGCCAAACAGCTTGTTTAAGCTACAAAATCAAAGATAGCTAAAAGCAAAGCTCAAAATCAGATTCATCTAATCGCGTTAAATCTTAAAAATTCATCTCTTCTACTTTTCTTTTCTCTCATTTTTCTTATTGCTCTACAGTTTGTTCAAATACATCCATGGTGTGTATTTCTGTGCACGCGTGCGCTCAGCCTTTATGGTATTTTAATCACTGGAAACCCCTGAACAATTAGCTGGCGAGCGGCTTCCCCTTCACTGTCTGCGGGTGTGTAATTTAGAGGAAACAGCAACAGCAAAGCCATGCAGGGCCTCATTAACATCAGCCTTTCTAGGCCACAATCACTCCATGCATGCACGCACACACACACACAGCCAGCAGGTCGCAGACTGAAAAAATGTGAAGCAAGTTTGGGGTCAATGTCAAGATGTAAAGATCCATTAATCATTAATCCATTAGTCTGACTCACCGCTGCCCTCTGGAAGGCTCCTTTCGTGTAGGTGCCTCCTCCTCTGTAGTTGATGGCTGGGATCTCCTGGTTGAACAGGGAGCACTTGTGCTGGTGGGACTTAGGCGCAGAGATGTGGTCCACCCTCGTCACCACGTGGGTTTTGGATGAGAAGGTCACCAGCGCCACGCGGGTGTTCTCCGGTGCGACGGGGAAGTCGGACAGCATCTTGCGTATGAACCTCAGCTCACTCAGGAAGTTGTTGGCCCCCACGCTCGAGGACTCGTCCACCAGGAAAACCAGGTCCAAGCAGGAGCTTTTCTCACGCAGCTCACGCACATTTCGCTTGAACTCCATGCCGAGGCGCTCCACTTTGCTCTCTGCACTTTCTGACAGGTTACCAGCTGACGAGGAGGAGGATGAGGACAGGGTTGACATCTGTCTGTACCGCCGAGGCTGCTGCTGCTGCCTCTGGGATTGTTGAACGGCTGGCCAGGCCGTGGTCCACACATCCAGGACGCACAGGAGCAGAAGACAAGTACTCCATGACAGTGTTAAAGAGTATCTTTGATAAAACATAGTTACAGTCAGCACAGCACCTCTACTGAAGGAGGACTCTGCAAAAAAAGAAAGACAGCTTGGATCCTCTTCACAAGAGGAGTTCAGTGAAGATAAAAGTGCCCTAAGCTTGCATCAGCGTCCAGGAGCACAGCAAACAGCAACAACTTGGTGCAGAGTTCCTCAAAAGCATTGCTAGATGAAGATAAAGGTCCTTTCATTCAAAACGTGCTTCTGTTTGTCTTTTTCTGTCTCCCCTCAGTGGAGCAAAACTCTGCTCTGCAAATGCTCAGCCTTCCTCACAAGGTGTCTGCCTCCCTGACTTTCCTGCAGAAATAAATCAGTGTATATGGCCACTTCCTCGGTCTCTGTGCATGCAGTGTTTAAGGCTTTTTTAACATAAACCTATATGCTCTTCATCTCCTCTCTGCCTGCCTGCATGCCTGTTAGTCAACCTTTCAGTCAGTGCATCTGATCCAAAAACCACCTCAAGCCTCTTCAGTCCTCTTTAGTCCCAGTGCGCTGCCCCTCAGGCTCCTGTTTGCCTATGTGACGCTCCTGCCTGCACCGTCAGCCAAGCTCCGAATGCTTGTTCCCCTCTTCTCCCCAAATCATTTAAAAAAACACACAGAGGAGGAGGAGGAGGAGGAGGAGGGAGGAAAAAAGTTGAGAGACAGAGAGAGGTTGAGGGGAAAAAAGGGGGCTGTCCAGTCGCGGCGTGAAGTCATTTTTTTCCCCTTCATATCTCCTCCTCTTTTTCTCTCAACTCCCCCTTCTTTCCCTATCTCTCCTCTCTCTCTCTCTCTCTCTCTCTCTCTCTCTCTCTCTGTCTCTCACCCTCACCCTCCCCCTGGCCCTCATCTTCTTCTCCCTCTCTCCTTGTATTTCTCTATCTCTCTCATCCGGACAGTGAAGTGAGGCTTTATGTCAGGGCTGCGCCTCGCCTGTCAACTTGTCAGCATTCCCAAAGAAAACATCAGCAACAGGCGCAGTGATCAAGTCCATATGTCTGCACCGTGCACGTAACACAGCGTCGGTCTGAGATCAAACAAAGTCAGAGTGAAAGGTGGGAGAAAGGGAGGAGAGGACAAAAAGATAAGTCAGATAAAACCTTAGATAAGATAAAGGAAATTACTTCAGACACATGTGGAAGATAGTTCGTTTTTCTTTTCTTTTAGGCGCTATCCTTTCCTCTCCCTACTGACCTCCTTATCTGCCTTGTATCTTGCTCCAGACGTTAAAAAACAGGAGGGAACTGAACCGTCTTCCTCTCCCTTTAATTTGCCCACTTTTTCCTGCACCACGGGATTCACACTCGTTTTTTTTTCTCCATCTCTCCTGTCTCCTTGTGTCTCTCTGCTGTTGTGTTTTCCACTAGTGATTTTATCTGTAACCAAAACAAAAGGCAGCCGGTGTTACAGAGGCACGCTGCGCCTATTAAAAGCAAAAGCCTGAGAGTTACAGCCAAAAGAGCCATGGACGCTCAAGAAGAAGAAGAATGAGACTGCAGAAGGAGAGAATGGCATGGGACAAGAGGAAGAAAAGGAGGGATGGATAAAGAGATGAAAAAGTTTGCGGACACCCAAACATAAACTTTCATTCATTCCAAAACATTACCCACTGTTCGGGGAAGGCTTTCCACAAAGGATTTTGAAACCTGGCTCCAGGGATGTTCTCCTAATCAGCCATTAGAGCATTAGTGAGATCACCGAGTGGGTGATAAGCGCTGTCTCGCAGTTCAACCCGAAGGTGTATAATGGGGTTGAGATCAGGGCATCTCTGCAGGCCAGACAAGTTTATTCCACACCAAAAAGGAAAAAGCCATTTCTTAATGGATCTGGCTTTGTGCTCAGGGGCAAGTTTCCACAAAGCTTGGAGCAGTTTAGGAATTCATTATACGCTGCAGCATTAGGATTTCCTTTGATCAAAGCCAGAGCTGAAACTCATTATTATATTTATCGCCCATTAGAACAGCAGTTCCCAACCTTTTTCAGCCCTGTCAGACCTACTCAGGAACCCCTTCATCAGGACCCCCCTCTCATGTTCTACTGTGTTCATTTAAACTGGAGCTGGACTATTTCCAGTACAGCATTTATCAGTTATGGTTAGCAAACTCAGCTGTTCCTGCATCACTGCGGACTTACCAGTTTGAACACCATCTGCTGACTACCTTTGGTTACTGCTAGATTTAACATGTATTCATTACATTCAGTGATCATTTTTTTTAGTCCATACCAGACATATTATCAGACCGTGTCTGAGACATGAACTACCACAGTATAGAAGCATAGGACAAAATTACAGCGTTTAAGAAAGGAAACCCGAAGTGAGAAAATCTGAGCACAAATCAAACTGCTCAGATAAAAACCAAAGAATAAAAGTGGGTTTAAATGGGTTTTTAAAGTGTCTAATAATAGACAGGCCCAGCTACAGCAAAGACCCGATATCCTCTGTCTTTTCATCTGGAACTCAGGAGCTAGGAGCATTTGCTCAGCAGACCTTGCTGATCTAGAGGGAGTGTGCAAACCTAAAAGATCAGAGAGGTAAGAAGGCGCCGACCCATGTGATGCTTTAAAAAACAAATAAAAGTCAGTATAGGGAAGCTACTATGGGGGATATGTGGGCTTGCGTGTGTGTGCCAGTTAATAGCTGTGCCGCAGTGCTTTGGACCAGCTGCAATCGGCTGAGCAGTGACAGACTGACATCTGAATAAAGACCATTAATAGTCAAGACGACCAGATCCACTGTGGTGAACCCATGCAAATAAAGAAGCAGCTGAAAGAAGGTTTATTCTGTATGTGGACGAAGTCTAGACTGAGAGAAGATCATCATTGAGAAGAGTCAAAGACTAGGATTAATCAATATCTGGGAAACGGACACTATAAGAAGGGAAGGAATAATCCCCAAACAAACAAAAAAAGGCACAGACAATGGTATGAATATAACTTCCAGATTTTTATAACCTTATTTTGCAGCAAAAAGTCAGCAACCTTAAGCATTTTTATTAGACTTGACTGGTGATTGGGGCACAGACGACAAAGGATTTTTGAGGCAGATATGGATACCAATATCTCGTAACTTAAAAATCTGATATTCCGATAAATTGGCCAATATTATTTTAAACACCAAACATCAACGTTTGCTACATGTAGCTGCCCAACTTGGCTCGGATCAGTTTTATTTGCAGCGTTCCAAACACAACCACCAGGGAAGTTGCAGAGCTCCCTCTGGTGGACAAACTATGCAACATGGTTGAAGGGTGTTTTCGTCTGTTATTGCTGATACCAGTAATGCAGTTTTTTTACACCCCTGTGAGCACCAGTTCATTTAAATAATTCTTCAAAATAACTGCCCGAACTGCCCCATGTGCATTTCCAGGTCGCTGAATGAAAAGGTTTGCTTTTAGAAGGACTTTGTATTTTCAGCTAACAATTTCAACAGCTAGAAACTTATTTAGCTGATGATTTTTAACAGTTTATCAACAATTTTAGCTAGCTACTGTATTTCATATATTTATCAACTACGTTTAACAATTTACACAGCTTATTTATGGTTGTATCTAACAGTTTCAACAGTTAATGTTAACTTTTGCAAGCTTTTTCAAAACTTTTTGATCATTTATGCATTTCTTCTATTGTGTTTTACACCTATTACCACCGTACTCTCCATCGCAACGTCTCAGAATTTGAAGTTTCCACTTTTGTAGTCCACAAAGACTAAAACCAGAAGATATCAGCATTTTTCTGATTAATTTTATAATGAACTGAGGTCCAGCCTCAGTTCATTATATAATAGATAACTTCATGTATACATAAGAGAGCAATAAGACAGGAAAAGTAACAAAATAAGCGGAGGAGGCAGAAACAATAAAAACAAGTCTACAGAGGGTGTGTGTGTGGGTGTGTGTGTGTGTGTGTGTTTCCACAAACCAGTCCACTGCACTCAGCTTTGCAGCGTTAGCCACAATGACACACAGTGTTTATTAGGCTCTATAAGCCAAGGTTTCGCTCCCTCTCGCTCCCTCATTTAACAGTGCTGGAAACTTCTCCAGTAAAGCAGTGGGAATAGAAAGTCCAACTGGCCAGATAAACTGTCCGAGAGAGCAACGCAGACACACACACATACACACACACTGATGCAGACAAGAGACATAAAAACATACACTCGCAGTCTCACACATGCCGAAAGGGGGATGAGCACAGCTGTGACTTCCTGCTTTTTGGCTCTGGAGACCCCTCACCAGAATTCTGTGTTGGTCCCATAGGACACAGGGGGTGGTGGTGGATGGAGAGGAAGTTTGTGAATGTGTCTGCTGATCACACTAAATATTTAGGCAAAATATGTGAAGGACTCCAATAGACTTTTGTGACACTTTCTTATATTTAATCCCCTTGGTTTTCTTCCTTTTCTGGGTTTTAAATGCAGCGCACAGCCACACAAGTTGTGCAAATACCTTAACTATTTTTAAAAAAGTAGTGGGATTTGTCACTGTTGTGGGATGGAAAATTAAACAAATCTAAAAAAGGGAGAATAAATAAGCAGACAAATGCTCATCAAGTCTGCCACAGATCAAATTTAATGTTCGCCTTTCTGAAATTGCCATCAATTTGAGGCCTTTTTTTAGACGCTGACTCTCAAAAACAAAAATGAGAACTTTCTGAGGATCTGCAGCAAGCACGTGAATGGGGCATATGTGCACACAGACTGAAAGCGAGTGTGCGTGGAGGCCCAGAGGCTCGTCACAGACCATAGTTTCCCTGTGACCGGTGCTTGACTACACTGAACCTGTCTTGTGGTCTCACACAAATATACTCCACCTGGACAGCAGCTACAGTACTTAATCAAAATTCAGAGTCTTTAAAGAATAAATCATGTTGCACAGGTCTGGACTGCAGAGAGGAAGTTGTCTGTTTTTCTTTAAGATACTCTTACAAAAAAAACATTTTCACCTTTTCCTTCATGTGTCTGACCCTCCTGTCAGCAACCATAAGCTTCAGATACAGTAGCTACAGGTGACAACACATTCCTCATATTTCCCTGCATTTTGTCGCCTGAAGGATAAAACACTAATCTCAGCACAAGTACGGCCTCTTCTAAACATTCCTGCAATGCTCATCTTGATCTAAGAACCCTTCCCACATCTGATGATTTACAGTAAATGTGGACATTTAAGGTTTATGCACCAATGTTTCCTTCCTTTCTGATCAAGCCTAATGAAGCTGATCATTTATGACAGTTATAACACACAAAAACAACTTCTTTGTCTTACACGAGTATAAATTATACATCGTTAATCTTTGGACTCAGACACTGTCACCTGGAAATTGTGACGCATTCACTAGTTATTAAATATGTTGGAGCTTTAATTTTTTTTTTCTCTAAAAAGGATTTTGCATTGATTTGTCCTCAGCATGTATTGAATCTTTGCAGCTCTCTGGATTTGGACTTTGGCCACTTATTTGTCAAACAGATTTGTGTGTTCAAAGTGCCAATGCTTCAATCAGGTGGAGCAAAATGCAACAAATACAGTTGTTTTGTTTTATGTCAGCTAATGAGCTTTTAGCTTCGCTAGCCTGCCATCTAACATAAAACCTGAAACTGCCTTTGTGCATGAAACTTCAACGCTTTC